AACTCTCTTGCTGGGTCGTTTTGGAAAACGATTGCAAATAACTAGACCCGAGCGCGGAGGATGTCAAACTAAACAGTTTATATAAACAAGCGCCAGATTCTATTGTGGCAAAAAGCCCAATTCTCGCCTCGGGCAGAGGCTCTTCCAGATTCTTCAAGGCCAGCTTTCGGAAATCGTCATCCGGCGAAATCATGATGGGGAACACAAGCCAAGAAACAAGGAAACCTGCATTGTCTCTACAATAATGATTCTGTCTCTCTCCCAGCACCCAGCCGGTGAACCAACAGAACGCCAGCACTGAGCAGGACCCTGTTGACAAGCAGCCGGCGAAGAAACGCAACAGCCACGCTTCTCAAAAGCTCTAAATGCTCTAATTGCCACACATAAGCCACTTGATGCTTGGCTTGCCCCTTGCGGAAGCCACAAGTGCCGCGGCCCCAAAAGGCTGTCAAGTGTTTTGTCGCTTCTTCGGAGCGGTGGACGTGGCGGTTCTGAAACAAGGCTTTGTGCTTGATGTTGGGACCCGCGGCGTGCCTCCACGGCCAAGCGCAGTAGCTGCCATGGCCCCTTTGCCGCAATCCTCTGACATATTTCTCAAATTCCGATCTGTCCAGATCGGAAATCGGATGAACCAACATGGGATGGCGATATCATGCACGACGGCACATCGGCCCGGGAACCGCAGATTCCAGATTTCCCCCTGAGGCCCCTGGATTCCCTCCGCAACCCTCCCTGAAAGCTGCTCCGAAGGAGCGCGTTGAGCCTATCGACCCCAAAGCTTGCCTGGGAAAAGGGCTGACAAATTAACACTTATTGCCCTTCCTCCAATAGTGATGGAAGCTGGCAGGAGGGTTTTTGAAAACTACTTTCCTTTTGGGAGCCCCCGGTCAAAGCCAGGTTTTGATTGAAGCCTTTGACCTTTTGGATTCTTGGTCTATTGGACATGGCACTACGGGTGTCGTTCCACAAAACCCTTGCTCTTGATGGATTTACCCCATACATATATGAGGCACAAAGCAAGCAAACGTGCTTTGTTCGGCTCAAATTCTTTATCCGCATGCCCTTCAATCCATTTACCACAAAAACAAGCAATCAAGTACGCAAAGCAATTGTCGAAGTGCTTGTTCGGCTGGAATCTTTCGAACATTGCCGAGGTGCAACTCCTGCCACTGGCGTGGGCATTGGAAAAATGCGGGGATCCACAAAAGAGGGCCTTGCAAAGTGCGGAACCCCAAAAAAGAGGTCACTCCAAAGGAGCCTCCTCTAACATAATGGTTGTTGGGGATACATATCGACCTGATGAGTATGAGTATGTCAGTAGTATGTCTAGTATGTCAATACTGCCCCTCCATAGCAACCCGCGGCCTCCCTGAACTCCCACCCCAAGCATTCCCAAACATAATTTCACCATAACGCTGTGGCTCAAAAACATGTACCAAAACGGCACCTCGGCAAATGGAACCAACGACTACCTGCACAACCCTCGGCTTCAAGTGCTTACTTGGTCGCGGTTGGCGGCAATCCGAAGGACCCGCTTTGAGGCCACCTCTTTTTGGGCAAGAGTCTTTCGCATAGGTGTCCTTTTAGGGGAAATAGATGGCCCTGCTAGATGATTTAACCACCAGGTACACCAGGGAAACCCATCTATTGTTCTACCAAAACAACCAAAAAGGACACCTATGGTCTTCCGTTGAAACCGCAACAAAAGCTGAAAACGACGGCTGGGACCGGCACGGGGGCTCTGCGTCCACCACGGGCTCAGTGACCAAGGGCAGGCACTCGTAGGCATCCCGGATCTCGGATCGAGCGGGATGCTATTGGAACCAAACTGAGGCCAAAAATCGCCGGAAGGCTGAAAACATAATAATGTTGGAGGGTTAAACAGTTAAAAAGGAGACAGACGTACATGATGCCCTATCCAATGAGTTGTTATTTTTTTTTTATTATTATTATTATTATTATTATTATTATTATTATTATTATTATTATTATTATTATTATTATTATTATTATTATTATTATTATTATTATTATTATTATTATTATTATTATTATTATTATTATTATTATTATTATTATTATTATTATTATTATTATTATTATTATTATTATTATTATTATTATTATTATTATTATTATTATTATTATTATTATTATTATTATTATTATTATTATTATTATTATTATTATTATTATTATTATTATTATTATTATTATTATTATTGTTATTATTATTATTATTATTATTATTATTATTATTATTATTATTATTATTATTATTATTATATATTATTATTACTATGACTTTTATTATGTTTATCTTGTAATTCATTTGAATTTCGTCAACCTTCCGCCGACCCTTCCGCGGCGCTTCCGCGTCCTGCAGAGGTTCCGCGAAGCGTTTTGTTAGACAAATTGCTTCCGTGAGCTTCCGCGGACACTCTCGCGACCACAGTGTTGGCATTGTTTTCGAACCTTCGTGACCCATTAAGCGGAATGCATGACAAGCCCGATTAGCCAAAGAAGTTCGTTCCAAAAAGTGCCATGCTGATAGCACCCCTGAAACGCGTCATTTCGAGAACAACATGAACAACCCAAAAAGGACATTTTGAGAGCGCCCCAACAAACTTGAAGTTGAAACCCCAAAAGTTCACTGCAAAGGACCCGGCTCCAGTTCTGACCTGTTCCCATTAAGATGCGAGGCTCGGCCGTTGGAACGAAGCCGAGACCATTCGAGAGCCGGGCAGAGGGTGTGAGGATCCTGTCCAGCTCCAGCTGTCCAATGACCTGAGCACTTGGGGCTAAGGTGAACGCAGGGGTTTTCAGTGGTAAACGTGTGCAAATCCAAACTGGAAGAAAGGGAACCTTTCAGTGAAGAACCTTCATGTGTGAGAAGCTCGTTGTAGCTTGTCCAAACTTTTGTGGAGCGTAACTCAAGACTCCTTTTTGCCACCCCTCAACAACAGGTACCAGCGCATGTCAAGAAAAATGCTGATAGTTGTTCAGCCCCTTGCCAAGCCGGGAGCTTCTTCCCATCGGGGACACCCAGGAAACGCTTTGCGCTCCCAAACGCTTCGCTCCTAGCCGCGTTTCTACATGGGAGTGCTCGCTGCGTTGCTTTTGATATACAGGCCCAGCAAGCCGCTAGCTCTGAGGCTAAGCTGAAACCCGAGCGAAAGTGGAATTCCTGGTCTAAGAGATGATCCAAGTGAATACTCGGATGCTTTCTGCTTTCCTGATAAAAGTTCAACTTTTAGGTTTGATGGAACACCCATTAGTTGGCAAAAAGTTGAAGTCCTAACTTCCAAGCAAAATTCAACAAAGAAGAAGTACCCTCGCCCTCTCTCGCTGCGCCAAGCTATGAAACATATCAGCTCCGTGGAGTCCTCTACTCGCATTTCTTGCAAACATTGTTTCATCACCCCGCCAAAAGCCAGCAAGTGAAAAACGCTTGAAAGGGACACTTCTCGGGACAACACCGGGGGTCCCCATATTTGCCCAACACCCACAGGAAGCTCAAAGTTGCGAAGAAAAAGCTGATGCTTGAAACCACCCGAAGAAAAATACAAAGGCCCAAGCCTGCCTGCACCCAAGTCGTACACAAAAACCTGTGCAAAAGTGCCCTTACATGGTGAACCAGCCCGGCAATCATAGGAACACCTGAAGGGAGTTACCCGGAACAAATAGAGAAAAAGTCTATGTACAATAAATATAAAGAAAATAACAGAGCGCCAGCTATTCTCCAAAGGAGGGAACCACCCAAGGGACCACATAGGAAACCCTTCAAGTGACATCCCTGATTTGTTTTCTTCTAAACGGTGGCGTGCAGGGAACGCACCGGGTCTCATCCGCAATGCCAGCCACTTCAAAGGCCCAAAAAGGGTTCCTTTCGGTTTTCCTAGTGTCACAAGGGAAAAAGCTACAGACAAACAAACACACACACACATGTTGCTGGTTTTCCTTTGCTTTCACTTACCAGCCCCTTTCCAGCCCTCCAAAAAACAGAGACCCCCCCCCCCGTGGGCTGGACACCAAACCGGCCCGGCTTCTGGCTTCCGGGCCCGCTCCTTCTGAAAGGCCTCCTTCTGGCCGCGCTGCTGCACCGCTTCAGCCTCGAGAACGCAGCGAACGAAAAGTGCTGGAACTTGGAGTTGGTGCTTTGGGTAAGCGGGGGGGCTGGACAAAAATAGGCCCCCTGAAAAGGAAACAAAGAAAAGCGATCTGACCTGTCGGTCTTTTTTTGCGGGGAAAGCTAAGGCAAATTTGGGCAATTGAGCACCCAGTGTGTGCTGCCGGGTGCTTCCAGTTGCAAATCTAGTAGACAACCTGGGATGCTATGCACATGATTGTCCTTCGGCGCAAGCAGGAATTTGCTTCAAACTTCAGGCGGCGCAAATCCCTTGACCTTGCTGGTTGCGGAGGGCCCGATTCGTTGGAACAGCAAACTGATCTCCTCCTCCATGCAGGGGAGGCGTCAAACAAATCTGACAAGCTAGAATGAAAATCCACCCAAAGCCGCAATCCATCGATTTCCCAGTTTCTGGCCCCCTCGCGCTCACCGGTGTCATGGATATTTGGTGCAATTACAGCCACCTGACCAGACACGTTGGACTGCCAGCGCTTGCTTTGAGCGTGGGGACGGTGGCAAAGGACAAGGCAGAGGACCTGCAAGTCATCCACCCAGTGCCACAATCCCTGGAAGCCTGGAGGTGCCAAACCACTCGTACAATTCATTCTGGATTTCTGGACACATTGGCCCAGGCACCCAGTGGCATGGTGATCACCATGGTAAAACAAAGGTCACAACGCATCGGGAGCTCACGTCTCTCGCTTTGCAGTTGACCCCCTTGCCATCTGCTACCCTGACTCGGGCGGAAAGCATGAGTCAAGCGTTTAAACTATCACAAAAACCATGCCGTGATGGGAGTCCCGGCTGCAAAGCAGGCAAGGCACTCTTGAACTGTCGTTTCGCTGCTGGTCGCAAAGGAGCTAAGCCGCTCTCACAGCGCCACGCGGCTCTCGACCAGCCTCACCGCGGGCGGAGGCCGAAAAGTTGGCTTCGCTTCTAAAGAAATGGCTTTGAACGCTCCAGGGGCTGGCACATAGTCCAGACATTGAAACGCAAAAGTCTACTAAACATGTTGTCCAAGCCCAAGAGGGGTTTGACGCGTGAGTGAAGCTGCGCTAGTGAGCAATGAGTATGAGAAGCGGCAGCCCTTAAAAACCAAGCAAAAGGCATGGCTAACATGGCAACGAACTTATGTAGAGCATCGCTGTGTTCATGGACCCTTGTCAGCCTTGTCAACTACTGGTCCTGCAGCCCATCTTTCAGCATGCATGCTGCACGTATCTGAAAGCTGAGCCCACCCTGAACAAGGAGTGCGATGTGTGTGCATGACCTGCCTGATTGCTCTCAACAAATCTGCTGGACACATAGGTCGGCCTTTCCACTGAGCCACAAAGAACCCAACGCACAACCGGACCAACAGACCTTGATGTTAAAGCTCTGTGTTTTTGCGCGTGAGAGGGTGGAGCGGAGTTGCACCCACCCCTTCCAATCACCTTCCCAGGGGACGCGGGAACACAAAGCCGTGTTGCCTACCCTGGTCAACAAAAGTGGTCACCTCCTCGAAAGCGGAAAACGGCGAAGCTTGGTCCCTGTCTCCACCCACAAATGGCTTGGGATCAACCACCTTACACCTGTCCATGCCAAAATCCGGCAGCTAGTGATCGATGAATTCTGACAAGAAACAAAATCAGATGCACCCCGGGGTTCCTCAACGTCCCACTAAGACTCAACCCGCAGAAAGGAAACCCCATGGACACTGGCATCTCAGAACGTGACCTGTGCACCAAATGGGCGAGCGTATCCTTGTACTCCGTGTCACCCCCTTACAGTAGATCATGGTAAATATGTGGATTGATGTTGCAGATAGTCACAAGCAAAGCGCAGGATTACAAGAGTTTAATTACCCCAATCACCGTGTCAAGAATCAAAGCTCAGAAGCCAAAAGGCTCAAGTAAAGGCGTGTCAACATCGAAAGCCCCAAGTCCCCACCAATCCTCAGTTGCACTCCCCTCCAACCCCTCCCCAGGCTTTACTCCCAACACCAGCCCCCAAAACCCCACCCGCCAACAACCACCGCCGATCCCAAACCCCCCAACTCCACCCCAACCCCAACCCCAACCCCAACCGCAACCCCCACCCCAACCCCAACCCCCAACCCCAACCCCCACCCCAACCCCAACCCAACCCCAACCCCAACCCCCACCCCAACCCCCACCCCAACCCCGACCCCAACCCCCCCAACCCCATCCGACCCTACCGCAGGGCCGAACATCGGCGCCTGCCCGGCCCGCAGCAGCGGAAGCCCAGGCACCGGCCCTTGGCGCCCGGGTGCCGGCCCCGGCGGTAGCTGCTCCGCGCTAACCTCGAGAGGCACTGAGGCGCGTCTCACCCCTCAAAACCTTCCGAGAAATCCGAAGGCTTGTGGGTTTTACCATGCGGGCTGAGGGAGGGAGCCCAAATACGCCCTCAACAAGGCTTACTGAGGGCTTCTTTGGGCTGCCTCCCCCCCAAGCCCCCATGGCAAAAATCACAAGGCGGCAGCAGAAACTACTCCTTTCATCCTTGAGAAAAAACAAAACGGTGCCCTTGTTTGCGGAAACAAACTTGTTGGGCACTCGAATGGGTTGCTTGCATCTGGGAACCTCAACGGCGACAGCCTTTTGGAACAGGATCTAAGCCATTGTAGAAAGCTCTCAGGCCGCCGCAATGCGATCCCCGGATTGCCAAACCCTGGTTGATTCAGAGGGTTGTCCCATGAAATTGCGAAAACACTTTCCTTTTGTTCTTCCACCAGGTTGATGAATCTGAATTCGACATTACTGGGTCCCTTGAAGTCACATCCTCATGCCCCTCATGATTTTGCCAGGTTTCAGCTGGCTCCACCCACTTGGGACATCTTGCGGCTCACAGGCAGGCCATTTGGCCATCAACCCATGCGATCGGAGGGGCGAGGCAGGACCCACCCAGCTGCCGCCGCGCTCGCTCTTCAGCGTGCCCTCCTCCTCTTCGCAGTTCCAGGCGTCCGGCTGGGTTGCCTTCGAAGCGACGGGCGCGGCTGGGGGTGGGGTTGGTGGGGGGGGGGGTGGAGCATGCTTCTGGTGGGGGGGGGGGGGCGGTGGGGCGAAAAGGAGCGTCGTCTATGGCCAGGTTCTGGATGAATAAAGGAGGTCTGACAAAGACAGGAATTCTCCGTCCCTGTAGGTTCCTTTGGCGCCCAGAGCTGTTTGCTCCCTGAGTTGGGGTCGGCCAAGTTTTCCCCACCCTCGGACAAGTTTCCAACATCCCGCACGGAGTGCCTCCGAGGACATGTAGAAGTTGGTGTGGTAGGTGTCGCGGCACCACTGCCACACATTGCCCGCCATACCTGGCGCAACAAAAGGACTTGCATCATGTTGACCCAGGATTAATAAACCCGTCCCACTATTAGCGGGGTGTTCCCTCCAAAAGTGATGAATCCCCACTAAAAGGGGACACCCCCTATTAATCAACCAGGGGTTTATTAATCCGGGGTTAATATTACATAGTCAGAGGGAAAGCTACTGATCTCCCCAAAGCACCAGACTTCATGAGTGGGCATTGGGGGGCCATGGCTTAGCGTAAGCTGTAAGCGAGTGAAAGTTCAGGGCTCCCCGTTGCAAATTCAAGGTGATTGAAAGCACCTGCCGCCTTGATCGCGGTGAGCATCCCATTTTGCGGCAGCAACCGCTTCAGAACAAGCTAGATCCCAAAACACCATCTGGTCGCAAGTGGCTGCAAACTATAGGCACTAAACCACCTTCTGCAAAAAAAAAAAAACTCGCAGGTTTTTCTGCCAACCCAGCCCCACCTTCCCCCCCCACCCCCGGACAAGGACTGCCTCGCAAGCCGAAAGGGGACATCCCCAGCAGCGTGTTGACCCCGCAGAGCGGCAGCTCCTCCAAAGGGGCCGCCACGTGGGCCGCCACGTTGCCCTCGAGATTGTCCAACAAACATCTGGACCCAAAATGTGGGGGAGGCGGGAGACGGGGATCCGTTTGGGGGGGCATTGAACAACACACCAGCGACCAAAAAGAAACAGACAAATTTGGAGGAAACAAACAAATTTGAAAAAACATACCAGACAGAGGAAACAAAGAAATTTGGAGGACACAAGTGTTCAGGTTGGAAGCCTCACCTTAGAGTCGTAGGCTGTGGCGTCCCAGTTCACGTTCAGCAGCTCCGGGGTGGCCTAGGCACAAGCAGGGGGAGGGGGAGTGGTCAAAACCTGGGGTGTTGGGGCCCCCTTTTGCCAATCCTCCCGAAGAAACGTTTTCCTACACACCGGCTTCAAACAAATAGTCTCTGCGCCTTGCGTTTGATTGGCCCTAGCGTCAAGCGCCTGTACGAGTATTGGAAAGATACGCGTACATCATGCACATACTGTGCCTGGCGACCCCGTTCACGTCAGAAGTGTCAAGAAAACATGAGCCGCCAACAAACACGTTACTGTCGTGCCCAGGCAGCTTTCGAGCCTGCGCTCCCTGGCCCTGCCTCCTCATCTCCCCAAGGGAACTGCTTGGTCTCCGGGCCCCTGGCACGGGGTTCGGGACTCCCTCCTCCCGCTTCCAAGCTGAGTTTTTGCATGGGACCGTCTCGCCCTTGCTTTCAATTGTTGTTAGCGAGGCAAAGGGCACAACAATCTGTCGAACAGCTGGGTGATGCTGGGATGCGTTCCCCTCCCTGTGTAGAGGTCTAAGTAGGGCTCAAGCTGGCTGACGTCCCCGATGACAAGGCCCTTGGCCCATCGCGGGCGGGCCAGGTTTCACCCCCCAGCAGTGAAAACAAACTGAGGCCTGCCTGGCTGCATACTCCCACTGGGCTTCCGTTGGCAGAAAGCTCTTTGCCGTACTCTTGTAGCTGTGGCAGTCCTCCCCGTGGGCCTAAGGTCAGAAAGGGATCAGACTGGAAGAAATCCTCACATTGATATGGCTCCCGCGCGGCTCGGCTTCATAAACACCAAATGCCACCCCCTCCAACTATCAGTGAGGCTGAAGAGAGGACTTCGTTCTGGAAGACCAGACGCGGCAGTTCTCACGCTGACTGACTGGACTCATGTGCCTCACGAGTCCTCCATTGTCCTCTTAACCACACCCTTTTCCACCAGACTTGAAGACGGCACCTCTAAACGAATGTGGGAAACCCCTATACTGAGCGGCTTCCTTTAGGCTTCCGAAACAGCATCTGAGAATGGATCCAGATCTTCCCATCTCTTTCGAGGCACCCAGAGGCTGTAGGCGTTGGCACCCCACCAGGACACCAAGATCATTGGCCAATTCGGCGGCACCCCAGGCTTCACCTGTTGCTGTGGGAGCGCCAGCACCGGTGGCATGAGGGAAGTTAGAGAGGGGTGGAACCAAAAAACAAAACGAGACCCAGGCGCCCAGCATGGAACGCTGCAGCCATGGCCCCGAAAAGTGGACATTGGCCTTCCAGGATTCAAGGCTTTATGTGGATGTCCAGAAAACCGAGGCCGAAAAGGGCCGCGTGCCTGCCAGCCCTCCGGTCCCTCGATGAGAGGCACGTGGCAGCACCGGGGGTCGTCGACAGGCAGCAGGCACCAGTCGAAGAGCTCCTGACCCGACCCGATCGGATCCGGAGCCGCTGCCAACACCACACGTTTCGAACCTCCGCCTGGGCGCTTTTGCTGGCTCACTCAAGGCATCACGCCTCAAAAACATGCCATCCATGCGCGGGATCCGGACTCCAATGGCCATGGGGAAAACCGGGCAGCCTTCTTGGTAGTTGATATGAACGGGCTTTAGCCTCTGCCCGCCAAAGAACCAAGGCCACTGGAGGTCATAGTTGGTTGCACGCGGGTCATGAAGACTTATACTCCTTTCACCCTCAGCCCAACAGCTCCTAGACCAATATGTTGTCAACTAACAGGGAACCCATCACGCAGGAAATGCCAGCACCTTCCTTCAGTGTCACTAGGGATAGCCAATGCCATAATCTTGTTTCGCTAAACAAGCCGGGCTCGGATACGCAAGCTGCATCAACTCACCAATGACAGTACCCCAACCTGAATCTGAATTCGGACAGCGGGAAGATACAACATCTGAAATGTAAGCTAACATAGGTGGCCGGAAAAATAATGGCGCTGGAAAATGGAAGAAACCCCATCTAAAACAGTGCCATCTATTCTTAATCAAACTAAACAAAAAAGGACATCTATGTAAGCTAGTATGTGCCGTTCCTCGCTTGGACGCCTCCGCCTCCTATCTTGCAGTCCCGCGTTGGACGCATCCGAAAAAAGCTCCTCCTGCGTTGGCGTGGTCAGGTTCAGGAATCGGGCGTACGCCTGGGTTGCCGGGCTTTGGGCGAAGGTTGCCGGGTGTCTAACAAATTGAACATGAAGCTCCTTTCGGCTGTTGCGCCAATGAGAGGCGAACAAGAAATACTGGCAAATCCATGTCCAGGGTGTGTTTTCATCACGCCTAAACCAGTGGACCAAAAGTGGGATTTCGAGCCATAACTCAATAAATAATACATTCCAGCCATCTAGCGCATGCCGCTTGGAAACTCACTTTAATACAAATCGGTATCTAAAGGCGATGTTGAAGGGATGCCCTCAGGCTACTGAAGAGAGTAGGTTTCAAGTGGACAAATCCACAGCTGTAAAAGTGGCCTGTGTTCCGGGCCATGCAAAACATTGATGAAGCGTCAGTCATGTCGAACATGGATGGCATAAGGAAATGTGTAAATATACATGCATTGCTTGTCCAACCATCCGGCAGCAGAGAAAGGATGTCCGGAAAGCTCAGACCTTTTTTGGTTGCTGTTTGGCATTCTACCTCGAGGAAAGCGGTTTGAATCATCTGCATTCGCAGATTGATGGCGGATGCAAAGCCTCACTGGGCGACTGGGGGGCTACACATGTGCCTTGTTGTCATCCAGGCCCGAAAATAGAACAAAATCACGCATCTCCAAGTTTGCATCCTCCAGGCCTGGAAAGAACAGAACACTCACTTTAAACTTTGGGGTTCATCGACGGCAATGTCGCCACTCGCCCGGGTCCCAGGCAGCAATGCTCACCGGCTCAACGTCCATGAGGAAGCTGCTCAGCTCCACGTAGTGAGAAGGGCCCTGCCACGTCTGACCATCTGACGCTCGTCTGGGAATGCTCTGTGTTCCGGGTCGGCATCCTTTTGAGGTTGCTTTGAAGGGAAACCAAAAGACGCGGGCATGCGGCATGCCACACATTTTGCGGGTCGCTGTTTTTTTCAGACAGCCTCACTGTTGATAGTGCGTATTCCAGGGAGTTCGCAACCTCTTCAGAAGTGAAGGCAACCTAAAGCAACCGCGCCGAACCTCCGATCTCAAGCACGGGTTTGTGCTAAAACGTTGGACCCAACATGGGTCGTTTCCTTTGCCATCCTGTTAAACAAATTGGATGCAGCCCGCCTCGTTCTCCCGGCTGGATGCGAAGGTGTCGTCCCCGATCTGGGCACGGCAGGCCGGCAGCAGCCGGCTCTGCACCCCGTCGGTGCTGCGCCGGAAGAGGTCTGCCGCCTCCTGGGCGTGGTACTCGCAGCGCGCCTCAGCCGAGGGGCGGAAGAGATGCGAATGAGGTGTTCTTTTACTTTCCAGTTTTCTGGAGCATTTTTGAAGACGAGATATCAACAACGAGAACAAACCGAATAACCAAACTCGCCCTCCCTTCTGAATGAGTATGCTAGCTTTGTCAGAAGCACAATGTAGCACATGGCAGCAGGATCAGGTCCCAATTGGATCCTGGCGGACTTGGTGAGCTTTCTCTACCGGCTTGATGCGGCTTGGTTGGAGTATTCAGGCTGTCCCTTTCTTTTAATGCTAGGCTAAGGAAGAAGCCTTCCCCCATATGGTTGTCTAGCCTCATTCTCTAGGCCTAGTTCTTGCCTCATTGTGATGACTAATCCCATTGTAGAGGGTATTTGTATGTATTTGCATGTCAGATGTGGCGTGTCAAAATAGGGACCCTGAAACTTGCTGGAAGCCAACCGTTACTAGGTCTCATAAAACAAACGCACACACACACACACACACGGATTTGAAGCCCAAACCCACCATCAACGTTTCATCGTGTTCCGCACCCTCACCCCACAACGGCGTGCCTCTGCGCCGGCCACATCCGTAAGCTGCGTGAAGGGCGCGGAGTTGGCCGCGCCAGGCTCCTGAGCTGACGGGCCCCTCATGGAGGAAAATTGCCTTTCAGGGCCCTGTTTAAGCGAGGATTGCTAGAGAAATATTTCCCAGTTGCCCCAGCATCCATGGAAGAAGAAAACCAAATGGTCGATATGTTTAAAAACAACATGATAATGCACCAAACCGAGAAGGGAAGCGACGTGCACTGACTAACTGGGTGTTGGACCCAGCCACCACTAGAAAACCCGTGAGAAGTGTGAAAGTGCGGTTTGCAACCAGTCAGGCAGTCAATAGCATTCAGTCACTGAAGCGACCAGACCAAGGGACTTGAGCAAAACCTGAACCTGCAGTGAGCCAAGGATCCTGCAAAAAAAGATCCCCAAAGTCTGACTGAGCTTCTTCGCTGCGTATTCACAAAACAAAGGGACCACTCTCATTTCAGTGCTTTGCTGCCCGCGAGGAACACATTGTGGCGGTTCACCCTGGCAAATAAACGAACAAGCAAGCAAGCCAACCAGCCAACCAACCAACCAACCAGCCAACCAGCCAACTAACCAACCAGCCAACTAATCAACCAGCCAACCAGCCAGCCAACCACACACAAACAACCAACCAACCACACAACCAAACAACACAGCCATCACCAAAGCTCACGCCCGGCTTTCGACTTTCTCCTTGGTACTCGCGCTCTCCACGCTTCGGGTGCGTTGGGCTTTGGGCGCCTCCAGGATCGCCTGCGGTCCGCTCCCATCCGAACTTTGCGAGCGTCCGCTTGACAGGTCGCTGGGCGGAACTCGACCCGTGCGGTTTTTGTTCGTTTCATGTGTGTGTGTGTGTGTGCGGTGTTGGTGGCATGGAAACTCCAAACTGGAGTTGGGGGTCTCTGGCAGGTGGAGGAGCTTGTTTGACTAGCCACGGCTTTCTACACAGCCGTAGCTCGCCCCCCTCAATACTTGTACTTCAGCAGTGGAAGCCCAGAAGCTGAATATCCGTCGGCTTTTCGCATACTTATGGTGAGGGCTGGTGCATCATTTGGCGCGCCAGCCCCGGATCCTGTCGCATTGTGGAGACCACGGAAGCGCTACTTCAAAACCAGAACATCTGCCGTGACGCGGGTCCTGGGATCCTGGGCACTAGTCAAAGTCCATTGAATCTATTCTGCCAAGGGCACATTGATTTGAAAGTAGGTCTCACAAGGTCGTGCCTTGACACTTGGTCAGCAGGAATTCCCAACAAGGTACTGCCTTGATTGAACCCTTGGACCGCTCTCACGAGAGCAAGTGCTCACTGTGCGTCATGTTCCGAAAGCATGTTACCCCCCGATTACATACATAGGCAGTACTTCTTTCAGGGCAGCCTGTAAGCTATCATGCTGCTGGAAAACACGGAAGAAGTTGGACAGCTGTCCACGGCCCACGGAAAACAAGCAGTGGTCTGCACTTTGAAGGCCTAACATATTTCGCAAAAACAGGCGCCTTGAATGGCGGAAGCCAAGCACCGTTTTCCGACGGACTTGCACCTAGGTCTGGTAGTGCGGGATTCTGTCAACAGGGCGCTACAAAAACGCCAGGAGTCCGTGGCAAGAGCCACTAGCCACGAGCAGGAGCAACTCACTTTTGAAAACTGGAGGCGGGCTTTGGGTTCATTCCAGGGTCACTTTGTACTTTCCACTTGAACCTTGCACCACTGCCGGAAAACTTTCGAAACATGAAACTGCTTCACGCGTTTGTAGCAAATCCTTTCGCCGGACCCCTGTTCTGCTCTGCTGGGCAATCCCAGGTGCGACACCGCCACAACAAAGGAAACCACAGCACGAGTACCATGGGCAAAAGGATCTGGGTGTGGGTCAACATTCAACCACCAGGGGACCGCAGGTTTGAGTCCTTGCTTCCATTTACCAGGGTTCCATTTTGGGTCCGTATTTCTGACCCACAGCCATCTTAAAGATTGGATGAACAACTAAAGGAACACGTTATGTTTTAGTCACACCACGCCGTCACAACCATGCTTTCCCAAATGGAATTGCAAGATCCAAGAAGTTGTCCCTTTGGTGCTTCCCCCCCCCCATGGAATCGCTGGGATCACAAGAAAAGAAGCGACTTCCAACCACAGCTCCCTTCCCGCCGGAACGGCCATAACATCGGAGAACAACTCAAACACGGCATGACCTAACAGTTGCCCGTACCCTTGGCCCCAGAGCGCCCTCCCCCCGCGCGTGCCTGGGAGAGCTGCTCGATGGTGGGGTTGTCGAAGACCAGCCTTGGGTCGATGTCCACCTCCGGGAACTGGCGGCCCAACGCGAAGGAGTCGAACATGATGCACCTGCCGTGGCAGTGGCAGGGTGCAAAAAAAGACACCAAGGGAATCCATTCCACTAGCTTGGTGGGAAAAAGGGGTAAACCGAAAAAGGCAACCAAGAACTTTGGAACTTCCACTCTTGGGTGTGGCTCCATTTTTCGAACGGTGCGTGTGCCTTTTTGGGGGAGCTTTCGTACTGGTAAGTGTGTTCAACTGTTTGTTAGCTTGTGGAACAGAGTTTCCAAGCTGAAGGTTGCAACCGTGACCTACATACCTTTGACATTTTTTACGAAGAGCTCGCCTGGGGGTAAACGAGCACCTGGGATTCATAGCAATTTGCCCAGACCACAGAATGAAACCCTCACATGGATGGCCTTCTTTTTTTAAAAGCAAATCTGACTTCACATAGGGAACCAGCATGTGGTTTTCGCGAAATACTTTTGCCGTTGCCGCTTTCCAAAGCGGAGGGGCCCAAACAAGAATGGATGATTTTACAGTTTTGTCCATCCCCCCGGTTTGGCGCCGAGAAATCATTGCCATGTAAGAGAGCACGCACCCATAGCAACCCACCCATGCGCCGCAAAACGGGGTGTTTTCCTAAAACGAATCCCCAACAATGGTATCAACTCCAAAGACATGGAGCCACACCCCGCAACCTGTCCAGAAACGCACGCCCAGCTCAGAAAACACCAGTCAGCCGGTGGGCAGTACCAGTCTTAGGGTAGCTATGGAGCCATAACTTGCTGGTTCTAAGTCGGTTTTGCACGATACTTCTGCATCCCTTGTGGCTTCCTTAGTGATCCCGTTCCGGTTCATTACCCAACGGCTTTGTTGATTCCCGAAGTAGTCAGTGAGCAGGGTTTTGGAAAAGGGAACCGAGTTGGCCACAAAAGCTCGGCTGCTTGATTGGTGCCCTAAACTGGAATCCTCGTCATAGTTCCATGACCATCACAACCAATCCCAAGCTATTGGAATAAAATTGCGACGGGGGGGGGGGGGGGGGCTGAAAAGGTGGTTGCTCGCGTTGGCTTCATTTGGCGCACAATCGTGGAATTGTGTCTAACTGCACATGGCAACCTTTCAACCACCTTTGGGTGGAAACCGTTAGGAACCTGTTGCAGAGATCCCTCGATTCCCCCGATCAGGAGATGAACGGACTAGCCTTCTACATGACACTGGTTAAGGTCCATATCCAAATGGAGGGTGGCCGGCCACATCAACACCGAAAACATGTAGCAACACCAACTTGCTCAATGAATAACATGTGCGCTCCCAATCCAGCGCCTCAAACCTCTGCCACTTCTCAAAGGTGTTTTCTGCAACTCTCCGGGGGGGACCTTAAAGTCTGTTGTATGATCTTGCGGTGTTTGCATGCCCGATTTGCCCACGGACAAGTACTACCCTAGCAAAGAAAAGGCAACAAATCACGGCTTCGCCGCATAGCAAGGGCACATACAGAACAACTGTGGCAAATAATCAACAATCACCTACTAAGCACGAAAACTGTGGTAAAGAACCACTGCTTAGCCACTGTATAGAGAGTATGGACAGGAACACGGGGTGGATAGCCAGCCCCTGTTTGGCTAGTCAATGCAAAGTGCCCATATATATATATATATATATATAAATATATATATATATATACATATACACATATACATATATTCTACAAAACGGTTTGGATGTGCTTTCATCTTGTCTTCCCCCTGTTGGTTCTTTTTTAGTAACCTGTTCTAAAAAACCACATCCAAATTGTTTTGTAGATTTGTATGGAGATAGAGCATATGTATATACATACATATATGTATATTCATATATGCATATATACAGAAGGAGCACGTAGTGAACATCCGATCTTTCGGCGCACACACTGATTCTTTCCCGGTGGGCTGTGCCGCTGCGCCGCTGCGCCTCGAGTCCCGGCGCAGCAGAATGTTGTCGCGGGGGCGCAACGGAAGCCCGGGGTCGTCCAAGTCGAAGGGCTGCCGACGGATTCGGTTGGGACTCTGAAAGGGCGAAGGCCATGCTTCACGGGAGAGCCCGGTGCGAATGGCGTGTCAGCAGGGGTTCGTCCAGTCAGCAAATGTGCAAGGGCAGGCTGACGAGGGGTAGGGGCCACAGAAAAAAAAACGCCCAAACATGGTGGATTCGCTGCCTGCTTTCCGTTTAAACCAGCCTGAAGGCACCCTCGAGAAAAAACACACGCACACACCCACACACATCTAAAAGCTGTGTAGACTTCCAGCTAAATAAATAGAAAGTCTGCCGCTAAACAAAGACAACACGTAGAATGCTTGAAGGCCATCCCATTCCCATCCTACAAACGGCAGAACCCCCCCCCAACCCCTCTCTCGGCAAAATCAAGTAGGACCCCCTGGCTCAGAAGTGCAGAAGGCCTGAATAATCATTCTTTCAAGCAGGCGCTTTGTTTGGACCAAAACCTGGAGGGGTGCGAACTGTAGTTGGCATGGCTCATGGCATGAAGGGCCCGCATCTTCAAAAGACTGCAACCAGCTTTGGGTGATCATTGAGTGAGGAGCCTGCACGTCGACAATCGCTGCTTAGCATCATTGTCACGTGTTCAATGTGCCCAACCACGTCCCTTCCTAGGTGAATTGAGGGTGCTACTGGCTTGCACTGTTCGTGATTGGCTTCAATGGTGGAGCTGTCTCTGGTTTGTCGCCGACAAAGGCTCAAGACATGCAGTCACTCGAACCAAAGAGCAAATTTCCTGCATGCACTTCATCACGAGATTCGGCTGTCAGGCTGGAAGGTCGGCAACAGTGTGGAAGGCCTGACAAAGAAATGGTTTTCACTTGCCAACATCCTTGTCTGGTCGCCACACTCTCGCTGGGATCTGGTATGTCCGCTTACCCAAAGGAGACCGAAGCTGAAACATGGGCAAACAGTTCATGGTTGAATGTCCGAGAAAGGACGGACACACACACACAAACACACACACACACACACACACACACAGACACACACACACACACACACACCCACCCACGCACGCACGCACGCACGCACGCACGCACGCACGCACGCACGCACGCACGCACGCACCCACCCACCCACCCACCCACCCACCCACCCACCCACCCACCCACCCACCCACGCACGCACGCACGCACGCACGCACGCACGCACGCACGCACGCACGCACGCACGCACGCACGCACGCACGCACGCACGCACATGTATATCTATAAAGATACGCATATCATATCTCTATTTGTGCATAGACTAGATATACAAATACATCAATAAATAAAACAACCGACCCTTGTTGCGAGCGCAACGAACGCCTCGTCGTCATCCGGTAGACCGCCGCCCTGCTCCTGCGAGACGCGCTCGTTGAGTACCCGCGAGACCTTCTGCATCACCTGCGCTGGAACGAAAGCGCGGCACCGGCTCGGAAGGCGGTAAAAAGTTGGGCCTGCGTTTGTTCAATTAACCTGCAAAGTCAAACATGCTGCCAGGTGAGGGGATGCTAACTGTCCAAAACAAAAAGCCTGATTCAGAGCCATAGCAAGGGGAGGCATTGCAAGCTTAGTGACTACCAGTGGCAGTAGCCAAGTTGGGGCGAATCGGGGGAAATGAACAACAGTGAGATTTGAGATTAACAGGGTGAACCTCGACCGTGGTAGCACCACCCTTCCGAGTGGTGACAGTTAGCTCTTGGACCCAGCATACCGAGCTCACCTGGGGGCAAATAAACTCACCCATGGTGAAGGTCCTTTATCCTTTGCCAGTAGGTCCCTTATAAGAGTTGAGGGCAGTCAGCTGCCATGATCGCTTGATGCCTGTTGTAACTGCAGCTTATGTTGCAAGCGTTTGGTCCACCAAACTTTCTAAAGACGACAATGTTCGCCAAAAGGCGAGCCAATACGAGAGGAAACCCTTTCGATTTCATTAGGGCCTTTGTCAGGTTCTATGTATATAGGTGAACGGGTGCGGAAGCGACTTGCCCAGTGGAACCAGTTACCTGTTTTGTGGGCAAGCAGAAGCAAAAAGCATTGTGTAACATCTAGACTAGAGGTAAAACTCCTGGCTAGCTGTACCCTATGGATCAACCATGTTCCTTTTCCTTTTCAACTGGATGAAAACCATTTGGTTACCTACTCCAGTGGAAAATGGAATCACTGAGTTGAGTAAGTTGCCAGCTTGGCCTAAGATCTGCCCAGGCTTCACCTGGCATCAGGTTGGCCCTGCGACCACTTGCGACTCCAGACTCCTTAGTGGATGTGAACCCCCGCCCCATACGCGCACATGGACTTTTAAGTCTTTGGGCGGGCCATTTTAGTGGCAAACAGAACCGTTTGCACAACTGAGGTCACATTTTCGGGGATGGAAGATCCTGTCTCAAGGCTCCGAAAGTCGCCTTCCCCAACACCTCCTGGGCTTTCTTCTGCATCTCCGGGGACTCCTCGATCCGAGCCGAGACCATGGCCCGGACCCGAAAAGAACCTCACCCCAAAAGGAACCCGCGAGTCAGCCCAAGAGGTGATGATTGAAAACACCAGGCGAAAGATCCGGGACCCCGAAGGACCTCCTTTTGGCTTGCGAAGGACTACCCAGGTGCCCAGCGACCTGGAAAGGAAGAGACAGAATCGGAATTCTGGTTGATCATCGCAGTGGTGAGCCCATCGAACAAAAGGAGACCAGGGTGCCGCTTGACGGTCGGGACTAGGAATGAACTGTGCCATCTACTTGCACCGAACTGAAAACAACCAATGTTCGAAAGATCCTTTTGGCTTCCATGATCTTGGCCCAACTCTTGGGGACACCCAACACAGAGTGTTCCTGCTTCATACCCATGTCCACCTTGCAAAATAATACGTTTTCGGAGGAGGCCCCTGTTGAAGGAGACCAGAGGTTGGTTCTTCAAATAAGTTTCGCGACCAACCCTGCTCCTCGTCCATCTGCGTCCGACCCGCGATCCAGGCACTTCGGCGAGCGACGGCCCGGAAAGCTGCGGCGGACGGCGCTTGCGGGGAGTTTGGGCAGAACCCTCGAGACAAGCAAACAACTTGCTGCTCAGTAGGGAATGCCGGGAATGAACCCAGGGGTCGCCTTAAAGGACACCACAAGGGATGGTTTATAAGGATCATTCCCTCATTCCCTGCCAAGCACCAGCAAAACGACATATATCCATATATATATATATATCCTAGGGTTTTACCTGGTGACTGGCCTCCAAGCCCCCACTGGTTCCAAAACCATGTCCTATCCAGCACCGCGATCCAAGGGCATTCTGCCGGTAGAGCTTTGAGACGGTCTGTCTCCAAACGCCTTTCATATATCTATATACATAGGTATGTTGATATATTGTGCTTATGTGTCTCCGTCTCCCTGTTGACGTGGTAGGACGACCAAGTACTTGTTGTGGTTGAGGCTATGGCTGGCCCAGCAGCTGTCTTGGGCGGCTTGCGCGTTCATATCCCAATCCTTCAGTGGCCACGAAGAAGAGTATGGCGTCCTGTATTACGTCGTAAGGGAGTCCTGCCCAAAAGAAGGGAGAACATGCTGATAGTTGAGATGAGCAAACCCTGTGAGCACTGGGATATCTGGTGCAGGATGTTCATCGGCCTCTTCACCTGCAGAAGTGCCATGTGTGCCGCTGGGGATGTTCCCCTTAAGGCACTGGCATAGGGCGGCACCAGCTGTTCCAACTCAATCATCAGCTGGGGCGTCACCTACCGCGGCATCCGAGGTTGGTGGAGGTGCACCCTTGTTCATACCCGTTTCGGCTCCTGGCTGCCTGCCCACTTTACAAGGGTATGGTCAAGGGTCATGCGAAAGGACAAGCGTCCCAAGAAAAGCGTGGAACACCCTTTCAAAAGGTTTACGGTTTGTAGTGGGGACCCAGCCAAACACAAGGGATTTTAGGGTGCCACTGAACAACAGTGGGCTTAGTGTAGTAGCTGTTCAGTACTGGGTCCGAGCAGGAATGCCTGTGCACCGTTCCCCCAAGCTGACAGGTAATCTAAATTTCCATCGTTTCTTTCCATCCACGTTGCCTGGGTGCGCCCCAGCTGACCGACCGGCTGCAAAACCCACCCGAAGCCTCTTTGGCCTTGGCCATGGCACCTGGCTCGGTTCCCATGCCGTCCAAAACGCCAAATGGGCGGTTTCGCTTATCCTTTCAACTCATCAAAGACAGGGACACCCTGGGGTAAAGGTGATGAACCCGAATGTCGGATCCATGAAAGCACCAAAACACCTATTCGCCCAAACACACGGGCGTACCTAAGACAAATTAACTGGGGTGGGATCCAAAAGCTTGGTTCCCTCTGGGCCCCGTTTGCTCGGGCTTCGTCGGCTTGGCCGTTCCTTGGCCCGAAGTCGGCGGGGGCACTATCGGAGCATCTCGCAGACGTTTTGGCATGCTTCACAAAACACCCAAAGGGTTAGGGAAGTTGCTGCTTAGCCCCAAGTCTCACAAAAGACACCAGAAATCAAACCTAGAGAGCATGATGGGGGGGCGCATTCACCGTTTGATAGGATTCCTGCGCTTCCGTTAGTGACAAACGGAGTGTCGACCTGAGGTATAAACCACCTACGCTTGAGCGGCACCTCTGATACATGAGGCATACAAGCCAGCTATGAACAACCAACCTCGTCACCCACTCCCCAAATTAATATGCTCTCACTTGTACCCTTCTAATCGGAGCCGACCCCTGCTCCGACCTTGAACACCCTCGGAGACATCCACCGATTCAAAAGGGAAAATGCCCCAAGCAAGTTTCCCGAAAAGCCTACACTTTGCATCAGTTAACCACGCTTTTGTCCACTGAGGCAGTCCAAAAGGCGCGCCCATGCATGCGCAAGTTGAGTTCGTGCTCCTTTCCAAATTTCTCAAGGAGTCGGCCAAGAAGAGCCCAACTGCTCACTGCTCTGTTCCAGCACGAATTCAATCACAGGAACCCTTCAATTCCCATTGACTTTGGGTCCTGAAGTGGTTTTCCCTGCGCTCTCTCAAAGGCCGACAGCAGCGCAATCCACTCAACCACTCACAGTGGTTAGCAAAGTCTGTTTTACGGCACGGTGGCCACGACTGCCTACATTTCATCCCTTCAACAACCGCATTCAATGAATCCAAAGGGTGATGGTCAAAACCACCAATAAAGTCTGAGAAAGGGTCTAGGTTCAGGACCCCGGATTCATACACCTGGGATCCTTTTGGGGGTTCTCCTAAGGTGATTTAGATCGAGCTGCACCCTTAAGACAATCAACCAGGGGTTTACGAAGCCACCTGGGTTCTCACAACCTCTCCCATCCTCTAGACAGAGATGCAATGCAAGACATACAAAAGAACACCATCCACCATGGGTTCTTCATTGCAAAAAGAAAAACAACCACGCCCTTTGTGCCTTGGTTCAAGCACCCCCTCCAGCAACCAAACGGCAAGTGACCGGCCCCCATAGGTCTGAGCCAAGCGCCTGTGACCTTCCCCAGCACAGACAGGACCATGAGGCAGATGGACGCGACCTCTGAGCCAGTGCCTGGCCCGCGGCCGATTGTCCATCGGGCTCAGAGGCCGCGTGTAACTGTCATGACAAGCCAACTGTCATGACAAAGAAGTGGTCAGGTGTAACAAATTGACCCCTATTCTGCGGGATCAAAGGAGCAATTGACCCCTACTTTCTGCAGATGGGTCAAGGGGGGGAAGCTTGGAGCCAGGTTTAGGTGAATGTCAACTTTCTGGGTGCAACTCTGGTCCCGATGTTGTCTTTCGGGTGCCTGTGAAAGGTAGTATGGCCTTGGCCTGGTCGAAAAGACTGCCAAACAAGCTGCTGTTTGACGGGTCAAATTGCCGGCTGTTGATTTTGCAGGGCAGGTGAAGAGCTCAACTTGCCACCGCCCTCCAACTTCAAGAGCCATTCAGTTCTTGTTTGTGCATGCCCATTGTTCGAACATGTGCTCTGCGGCTTGTTGCCAGAACGCCTGGCTTTGACGGCCGTGCGCAATCATCGTATGGCAGTTTGCCGCTGTGCACGCTTGGAGCAGGTGCTGACGGCGCGAAACATGTCCAAACGGCAGCCCTAGATTGCTGAACTTCTCCGAGATATGCCATGGGTGTTCCCAAGGCAAGCAAAGGATATACATTCAACCGGGACCCCCTCCCCCATGTAGCAAGCTGGGGCTCGTTCAATCGGGTTATTGCCGAACGCTCACCCCATCCCCGCCTAGGCCGCGGCCTGAAAGGTCAAAGACGGCGTGCAGGAAGCGCGCCTAGCAGGGGACTTCACGGCCAGCCGGCTGCAACTTGGGAGGAGCGTGCAATGGACCGGTCGACCAATTGCAGGACCTCTTGTTTTGCCAGTCAGGCAGGGAAAAAGGTGAATGAGGGAAACCCGAACTTACACTGCAACGCCAGGCAACTGAGCCTTGGGAATCACATGGGCAAATGAAGGCTTGACAGAACAGGCACCAAATTCTAGGGGCTGACTAGAGTCGCCTTAGGCTGACGGTGAACGAGAGAAGCCCAAGCAAGTGCTGCTAATAGCCCTGTGCATGCGGAGCTACCAAGCCCCAGGCACCCTTTCCCATTGGAAAGAAAACTCACCTACCGCCCAAAAACGAAACATAGTTTGGTTGGTAAAGTTCTTAAGGACTCCACGGAAGCAGCAGCGGATTGGAATTGAAGCCTTGGTGACCACTGCCCCCACGGCAAAAGAAAGTTCAGCTTTTTGGTGGTTTAGCGAGGGCGGGGGGAGGAAACACACTTTTCCCAAGAAGTGAAAGGGTGAAGATCCAACGAAATAGGCATGTTAAACCACCTTTGAGGGTACGCCTTGCTATTTTTTGGGGGGTTCACAGCCACACACACACACACCCACACGTCTGTTGGTTAGTGGATCCAAATCGCAGCCTTCTCCTCCAAGAGGGCGGAGCTGAAGACACAGGCGACCGTCAGCAGCTCTTTGGCTGCGAAGAGCCTCGGATCGATCGAGCGGGGGGAATCCTGGGCCAAAAGGCATGGGGCAGGCGGAAACCAAAAGCCAAGCCAAAGGCAAACACGAGTTGGACGCTGGCTCTGTGGAGGGTATGTTACGGCTGGTAAGGCTAGGCCCCTGATTTTGTGCCTATGGAGGCCCTGACCCGAGGCCAGATGAGTTTGGGGAAATTCGAACGGGCGCACGAATGATGAACACCCGCGTCAAATACATTTTGGGACAGTGACAAAGGCAACGAACTATTTTGTGATCCCTCTGCTCCGTGATTCCTTCAAAGCAATCGAGCGTCCTAAGTACGCCCCGTTGCGGTGAAACTAAACCTGCTGGTGCTCAGAGGGAACAACCCTACCCAAAGAGATCCCTACCCTTCCAAAATACCCTTGTTGATCCCCTACATCCACGGGCCAAACAGGTGGACGTTGAAAAGCAACATATGGGGAGCCCTGTTGTCAAGGCTGGCAAGACCCTTCTCTGATCCGGGTTTTTGGTTGGAAGGATGGCTCCCATACCCCATTGCCCTCACTAAGTTCCAGGAACCAAAACGAAACATGGGAAAGCTTGAGGATTGAAAGCTGAACACAGATGTGCTTGTCACTGTATCTGACGCCCTGACATGCTCACGAAATGTGGCCTGGATTCCTTTTGGTTTCCCTTTGAGCCCTGTGAGAAAGGCAAATGTTCACAAGGCCGCGGCTCGTTCTGCTGGCTGAAGATGTCCCATAAGAAGAGCATGCTGGGCCTTAAACGACGAGACGCATTCTCAGAAGCCCAGTGGCCACGGGAAAATCAGGGGCACCTTTTTCGTTGTGAAGGGAAATCCATCCCAAACAAATGACAAAAGGGGCAACTGGACTGGGCATGGCCCACCATCTCTGACCCGGTTTCGCAGAAGGCTGCCCCGAGCCAGTGCACCCATCCTGTAGGAAGTTGACAGGAACGTCAACTCACTGGCGTCCATCTGCTTGGCAAATCTTGGCAATCAAAGTATGTCGCTATGTTTCCACTTACCAGATTTTGGTCCATGTTTCCACGTACCAGGGGTTCCATTTTGGTACCGGTTTTTTGAGCCACAGCCATATATACGGGTTGGCGGGGTTACCACTACATCTTTGGCTGGAGCTGGGATTTCTCTACTCACATCACCCTCGGCGGATGCTAGGGCGATGTTCAGGTGCCATCTTCACCGGCCGCAACCTTCAAGCGTCGAGTTCGTTGGACCCTTCGGACCGGCGCAATGTGAGTTCCTATTCCCCAAAAACAGCCACTAGACGCCAAAATGAAAAAGGTCCAGAGTCAAGTGTAGGTTTTTGCAGCATTGGGCCACCCCGACCCTGTTCAACCGACAATAACAGCAACTTCGATTGGCTCCCCTTTCACCCGGGCTTGGTTGCTCAATTCAACTTTCGCACCGCGGTTCTCCCTTTCTGCGGTCCTCCCCTATGAAAAAATAGCACGTAACAAAACAAACAAATCAAAACAACTCTGCCTGGGGCCCTGATCCCACTCTGCTGTCATCTGTGCACCTGGCGCCTTGAGGCAAAGCAGCTCCTGCACCCTCGGCGCGCCAGTGGTTTTTCACCCGGCACCGTTTCCCTCCAAGCCCCAGACCTCCACAATGAAAAAGAGCCCCACTCACAACCTTGTTCGTGTGTTGGCTTGCGCTTTGCTAGTTCTTTGTTTGCTATTTCTTGGCCACCAGGATTGGAAAGGCAAGCTCCGCCCTTCAGCGATAGACCTATCTTACGAGCATCAGATACATGTACGTGGAACTATCCACATATTCACACATGTCAAAAGCTGTAATAATATGAACACATGCCCGCGCTTGTGCAATGTTTGCCGTCCAAACCGGGGACGATGCCATCATCAAATAGGTCCGATGAGCTTCGAAACGCAGCCAACTGGGATTGGACCCAACAAAGGATCAGGCGAGAAACCGCTGGTGTGTCCCTTGGAGAAATAGCCAGTTTTGTGAGCACAGAGTCCAAGAACTTGTGAAGATGGTCGGTGCAACGCGTCCTGAGCAGGTTTACTAGACAAACAACAGCCAACATCGCTGCGACGGGAAAAAAACCAAGGGTCCCAACGCCCTACCCCCAGGTCTGGCCGTCCTTGCTTAAAGCCTGAGGAGTGCACATGCTGCGCCATTGCGCAGCTTCACATTTGGAGGTCAACGCGACCCCTATCAGCCAGCAAGCACCAAAGGCAGAAGGCCAAATGTAGTCCAAAGATCCACCAGTTGACACTGGATAAAACACATGCAGGTGCGTAAGACTCCCTGCCACACGAACCAAAGTGAATCCGCGAATCCCGCGCCGCCCGTGCATCGTTCGAATCCCGGGCTTCCCCGCTCTTCGAAGCCCAGAAAGCCCTGGCCGTCGTCCGTGGACTTCATCTTGCGGAGGATGGCCCAAATGTCTTGCCCTGGCCACGATCAAACGGATCCGCATGGGATCCGCGCACAGACGGATGTCCAACGTAACCCAAGGACACCCGCCAAAGCTTGTTGGCAACCAAATGATGTTGTGAACCGTTCAACCACCCTTTGAAGGGAAACGTGGGAAACAACCACAAAAACGGTGGCACGGGCCAACAGTTTTGGAGAGGCAGCGAGAAGGGTATCCCAAGCCAAAGGGGGCAACTTAGGCTGCGCTGTGGAAAAAGTTGTCCAGCCGAATCGTGATCGAGGCAATCCGCAAACATGACCTTCCTTTTACGCAGGCTTTAGTGACGAGGGCAGGATCTAGATCACGCCCAGACTAAGCCTCATGACTGTAGGATGTCAAGTGTAAAAACGCATCAAGGTTGCATTCCTGCGCAAGAAGTGTCCGAGAATGGCATGCATCGCCAAACGCACACCCAGCGTGCAAACATGAGGGTCATACAGAGGCGCCCTCAACATTAACAACAACTCGATGTCGGGGAAAGAAACCTGGGGCCCAAGGCCAAGTGAAAGCGCGGTCACCTACCTAATGCCGCATCAAGCTTTCCATAGCTTCGGATGGACCTCATCAATCAGAGGTCCATGCTCCTACTCGAGAGATCGCAAAAAAGACTTCTTACCGGGTCTTACCGTCACGGCCCAACTGCCCTAATTACCAGCCAAGGGAAGCCCTTGGTCTTGGACTTGCAAGGAAGCGCAAAAGGCAATCCCTCCTCATTGCCACTTCCCTTTTTGAGAAGCCTAGCCCCACCTACACAAAGTTTACTCACATGTCCTCTTAAGACCACCTTTCTAATGACAGCCTGTCCAATCGCCAAAGCTAACCCTTCTTGGTGCATATGTTGATGTTTTTTCTTGGGTTCGTGAAGCTTGAGAAAGAATTCCGCTTTAACGGGCTCCCATCAGCAAATCTCCCCAGGTCCCCCACCCATCACCCCGCCAAGCTCAGAAAGTGCGTACATGTGTTTGTGGGCGCGCGACACGTGCGCACTGCGGAGCACGGTGGTATACGTGGAACACGGTGGCACGCGCGGAACGCGGTGGTTGCGCGGGAAGCGTGTCGCCTTTCAGTCCCCGTTTCGGCGCGCATTCTCCATTCTGCGCGCGCGGCGTCGCACGCGGGCGCCAGTGACTACCGCGAACTCTTTTTTTGCTTTAGAACGAAAAGTGTTTCAAGAACGGGGGTATGCGTGACTCGCCAAAGTGCCGCGCCTGTGCATCAAAAGCGCCACCCGACCCATTCTCCTACTAGAAACATATACCACGCGTTTTATTTCTTTTCGGATGCGTGGAACAAACAGGAGCCGGTAATGGGCGAACGTTCGTAGAACAGCTGTACGTGGAAACGAGTCCGCTACGGGCAGGCGCAGAGCACAGTGGTTTGTGTTGGCCAGTGGCCGCAGCGAGCGTGCGGTCGGCACGGCGTGGAGCACGGCCGTGCGTGCGGAGCGTGGCCGTATGCGCGGAGAATGCTGGTGCACGCACAGCGAAGAGACCTCTGGCGGTTGTGAAGTCAGAAAGTGCAGTGAAGTCAGGAAGTGCACATGTAAACCCATGCGAATCAGCTCAGCTCCTGAAACTGCACGCTATAAGCCAAAACTATAGTCAGGTTGAGTTCAATGTGGATTGAGTGCAAAAACAGTGTCGCAAAGCAATTGTGTTTATGGAGAACGGTGTGACCCATGGTATAGGATTGTTGTTTGAGAATGGGGGGGGGTCACTCATTAGAACCTTAAAAGAAAATCGACGCGCAAGGTGAGATTGATTCCCACGGACGTGTAACCCTGCGCTTCAAGGCCTGAACAACGACAATGACAACATGGGGTTAGAAAAGATGAGTCAGGAACTGAGGAGTCAGGATCATAACATGTTACTCCAATGCTAACTGAGCTTGGCTACATATATAGATATACATCTATGTATATATATATATATACACACATATTTATGCAGTGCACATTTATACCTATAGATAAATAGATAGATAGATGGATGGATGGATGGATGGATGGATGGATGGATGGATGGATGGATGGCTAGATGGATGGATGGATAGATAGATTAGATGGATGGATAGATAGATAGACAGATAGAAAATACGTATGAGCTTACATGAGCGTAGCTTTCGGGGCGCCTTAAAAACCATCATCGGCCAATGTAGGACAATCATGTGTGTGTGTGTGTGTCCTTGGCCCCTTGGACCCATCATGTCGCCTTTCTGTTTGTGCCCAGTGTTCCGGATCCCGCCGCCCGACCGCCCCAGCGCCCGTCCGCCCGGTGCCGGCCTCGGTAGTTCCCAAAGAGCTGGCGCAGCCGAGGGCCGCGCCCAGACTCCTGCCACCCCGCCGCCTCGGAGCGCGGGTGGCCAAGGAAAGCGGAGGCGGGGGGGGGGGGCCACAAATGCCAAAGCGAAGAGTTGCTGGGGATTTCAACCACCAAAAAAAAGACGTGATATTCTGGAAAATGTCCGGCATATATATATATATATACACATTTTCGTGGCATTGCTTTGGCCAAATCAACATGAATTAATATTTCACCGCAAATGCCAAAAGGGTTGAGTTTGCAATGAGGCTCGTACTCCCAATGTGTAGACAATAAACAAGTTTGGGAAAATTAACTTGGAGCCAAGGTGACATTTGGATGGACATTTCTGCAAACACTTCCCCAAATGGCGGTTCTGGAACCCCAGTGGGTGTTCCTCAGAGACGGCTCGCCAGAGGCGGTGCTGCGTACCGAGATGGCGGCAGCGCCCACTAGCATCAGCGCCGAGGAGATACCTGCGGCCATTTTCTCGAATGGATGCGAGTGGAACCTCCCCCCAGTAGGCAGCGGAACCCTAAGCAGGGTACCCTGTTGATTCTTGCCAATCCAAACAGGGTACCCTGATGAGGGCACACACCTAGCGCAAGGGAGGGGTTGAGGATTGCCGTCGAGCAGGCTTCAGGTGTGGACCATTTGGTGGATGAGGCTGTCAGGGCTTCACTCCCCTCCAATCCAATCCAAAGCCACCGTAGAGCCACACAGCTCGGCCTTGAATTCCCCCGAGTCGGCTCACATCTTGAAGCCAGTCGGGTATGTTTTGCTCGCTTACGGGCCCTTCGGTGGACATGATTGGTGGAGATTTATTTGAGGGGGTTACCCCATTAAACCAAACGCAAAGCCATTTGTCAAGGAAAGAGGCGCAGTTGGGCTGAACCTTTTGCAGCTGTAACCTCTGGCAAGGCAAATGCTATGGAGCCCTAGCCGTTCTGCCGTCAACCCAGTAAGGATTAGTGAGTGACATGCCCTTTAGCCTTGGTCACATGGCCCTGCAGGAAAAGGGCTTTCTGGCAATTGTCTGACTAAAAGGAGGCAGTACATACCTCTTTTATGCCACGGGTAAGTTCAAAGGCTGGTTGCATGGACAAAGGACCCATTAAATTAAACAATGTCCAGGAACCTGCTGCAAAGCAGCTCCTAAGGACGAGCCCCGCCCAACCACATGGTGACGATTGAATTGGTAAATTCAGGTCATTTCGAGTGATTCCCCACATCCAGAGTCAACACCTGTGTGGGCACGATCACTCTCTTAGCGGCCCAGTGACGGATCCCTCAGTGTGTAAACAAAGGGCCGGCGAAAACCTAGCGGCCACCGTTGAAGAAACAAAAAGCAAGAGTCACCAACAACTTAGAACGGTTGGCTCCTAGTTTTGGACATGTGGCCGCCGTGATATCCCTTCTTAAATTCCTTGCCCCCCGTGTTAATCAACCAGGCGTTTATGAATCCTGGCTCGTTTTATGGTCCAAGTGCCCCGTCCAAGAGCCCACGGCAACGGTCATGCCAAGCGCACAGCAACCAACCCCCGCACGGCCTGCGCCCATGGCTGGCCCCTTCCACCGGCGCCAATGCCCACTACTCTGCGGCCAGAAGATGCGCAACATACCCACACAAGACACCCACGCGTAGAAACTCCTGTCGCTTGTGGTCATCCCTTGGGAGTCCTTGTGATTTTCCGAGTTCCGAAACGTGGGTCAAAGCCCAAACTCAGCAAGGTGTATGTTAAAATGTCTCAAACTAGCATTTAAACCCACAAATTAGGTTCTGCGTTAGTTTCCCCTAAAAACCACCCCGAAGAGGGTACCGAGCCTCAAGAAGCACACTCACCCGTCAAAATTGCAACACGTAGGTCATGATCAAGGGAATTGCGACAGGAATCCTAAGCCTTCGGTCACAAAATGCCATGTGGGTCATAGTCTTGATCTCCTTGAAAGGAATCCTTGGTCATGATGGCCCTCAATGGTTGACCACCAAAGAAACCCGAAAGAAAGTTTCGACCATGAGATGCGTTGTCCATTTGGGTGGGGGCCGCCTACTTCGCACTCCCTACAGGCTTCTCTCAACAGGTTTCTGGTTCAACAAGCAATTCCTGTAGGCTTCCCTCCTTTCTTTCCTTCCTTCTTTCTTGTTTTTTCTTTCTTTTTTCTTTCTTTCATTCTTTCTTTCTTTCTTTCTTCTTTTCGCCCAACTCTCAACAAGTGTTATAAACTACGGAGGCCTTGCAACAGAGTAGCAACCCAAACCTCCAGCGGCCAGGAAAACAGGGGCCGTTTTGTGGCAAAAAAAGAAAGAAAGAAACGCACCACCGGATGTCTGGGGCAAACTAAGTTCACTAGCCGCGCCTGTTTTCCATCTGCACGCGCTCAACAGCTTCACCAGGAGACATGCAGCCAGCTGCTTTTTTGGGACTCCGGCCGTGGAGTGAAGGGAAGGTCCTTCTGAGGATCTTGCCATGGCTTCAGTCGGGCAAAACCAGAAGACTCCTTTGCAAATCAAGTGGGAACCATTCTGTCCCCATGACGAGGCAATCAATGTAAGGTCAACCAACAATTCTTCAAGGGCCAACCTGGGGATTGATAAAATAATTAGTGAATTAAGGAAGGACGGTGTGGGCCGACGGAGCCCCGAAGCAACCAACTCCGAAATCATGCTGCTCTCTCTCTTAAAGAGATGTGCGGTTTCATGCGCTTGCGCGCTTGGGCGCGCGGGGCTCTGCTGCACCTCTGGGAGATAGCGGAGGTGCTCGCAGGTTGGCAAGCCTCTAAGATGGCTTCCGCTACCTCCAAACCACTATCCAAACGGGGGGGGGGGGGGAATCGGGTGTATGCCCCTAATCTTGTACAATACATGCAAACATAGATAATACATACATATGTATATATATATATACACATAGATATACATAAGCACACTATAGTGGTTGTTTGCGATGTTCTCCTGCGGTTAGTCTGGGGGAAGTGGAAACCATCTGAAAAAGCTTCCCCCCCGCTCGCCGCGCGTATTGGTATCTGCCAGCTTCCAGCGACCCTGGAAGTTGACGACCTTCTGGGCTTGGTCGCTAGGAAGGGCCCCTTCCGCAGGGAATCTGCTCAGTTCTGCCGAGTCCTTCCATGCCAAGCCAGAAACCCAGCCGGGCGATCCCACATGTTCGGCCCAATCGATTCCATGGAGAAAACGGGAAAGGTGGCACTGCTCTCTGGCAGGCGCTTGAAAACTTGCCAGTCGACGAGCTTCGGGCCCTTTGGATTACACCATGGAAAAACAGGGGATATGGTGTCGGCTGTTGTTCTGTTTGCGAGGTGCTCTTGTTTGCTTTGTTTGTTCATGCAATATTGCGTTTTCTTGGCAGACCGGTTTTAGCCAGGCCTGTTTCCTTTTTTGTGCTTCAGCTTAACATGTTGAGGTCAAAGCTACACACCTCCCAAAAAACTTCACCCAAACCGGCCCAATAAACGCACATTTCGAGCAAAACTCTTGCGCCTGACATGGCACACGTTTCGTTCGTGCACTGAGTGCCAGAATCCTTGGCCCGAGTCGCCGCTACTTGAGAAACCGCCCGTCGAATTCGCTTGCGCCAGGACAAGGGTAAGACCGAAAACATTGTCTGGTGCAATGGCCTGCCTGCCTGGATCGAATGGGGTTTCCTGCAAAGCCCGGTCAAGCGCCCGAGGAGTGTAGGTCTGGAAAGGGGAAGTGCTATTTGCTTCGACACGGTATCCCGCACTTGTAAAATTGGATCCAAAGAGCCGGCTCCTTTGTGTTGAGCTTGAGTGATTTGCGAGCCATCAATCTCAAATCGTTTGTCCCCAAAGGAAGGCTCGGCAACTCCTTACTGGGGCCCTTTCCCTGGGGATCTGGGATCATGCCAATACCTGACATCATCAAAAGGGGCCCATGCGTCACCAAAATACCTGGCGGGGGAGAGGTCCCATTTCGATGATGTCTGGAAACCCGTTGCAAGTCCAAAGGGACAGGTTCCCTGGCCTTTGTGGAGCTGATGCCCTTGCTGAACTCTTGCCTCTCTCGCTTTGACCTGGGTTGCAGGCCTGGGCAAGGACATCAATTACTGTCCTCCCCCAGGCGCGAAAGCCCCAAGCGCGTGCAACGCCGGTCACTTAGTGACGGCCACTGAAGCCGCCCTCCCCAGCGCCTTTCCAGAAAGGCACGCTTGGACCAACTCAGGAAGCATGTGGAAGCTTGTCTTACTACCCATTTGGGTGTCCTAGCCAGTGACCAATACAAATGGCATCGCTTTTGTGCTGGTGCCCTCTCAGAAGCATTCGCGTAAGGCAGCCTTACTTGGCACAATTTCTCCGAGGCAAACATCTGGACAACACTAATCTTCACCTCTGAAACTACCCTTAGTACTTTCACCACCTGGAGCCGTTTGTTCTGCCCAATATCATGTGGCAATTGATTGTAATTATACGGCAATGTGCTGGAGAACCTCTGCCGGACCTTGTTTGTTCCATGTCGGGGTACTTGACGCGGAATGGGAAGTTTGCTCTACAGGCATCGGACTCTTGCTTCAAAAAACACGCAGCAGCAAAACCCATGCAAAGCACAAGGGCGGCCGTAGCTTCAAAGAGCCGAGCGTGGATCGTGGCTCCAACGGCTTTAGGCCTTTTGCTTTGGTGGGGTGCCAGGTACCAGTGAACTGAAAAATACATGGGCAGAGCTTCTCCATGTCCCACCAGGGTGTCCCTAAGGCTGTGCGCCTCTGTCCATGTCTGGGAGCTGCAGCATTCGAGAAAACTAAGCACTTCGTGCGGCTTCCGCCGGCATGCGGTGGGAATCGCTGGCCGGGTGTCTCTGTTGGCTTTGTTTTCTTTCCGGAATGCCCTGCGCTGGGCACAAACATGGGGCGAACCAAACTTTGCTTGGCAGAAAATACAGCTCGCTCAAACAGAGGCAAAATGAGTTCGTGAATCAGCCTTGCGATGGCCCCTACTCGGATGAGCCGATCGGTTGTTGGACTCGGAAACGTCAAATGTGCCCTTGTAAATGGACCCTTAGCCCTGAAAAGCCGTGAGAACTGACATGAGCAAATAACTCAGGGGCCCATCTCGGGGCGTTGCACTCCCTAGTGGTCCGAAAGTGCTGCTGCCAAATAGTGCCTCTCCAAATCACCAGGCCAAGGGGGGGTAAGCCAAGCCACTCGGTGGAAGTCGCCAAAGGTTTGGGCGCCTGTGTTGGCATACGTTGACCGGCACCACAGAGAAAACCAAATCAAGGGGCAGGATTGGATTTTGGCCAAGGGAAGTGCCCTTCGACTAGTTGGGTTGCAACCACCTTTTGAAGAACACCCCCTTTCAATAAGAGGATTCCCATTCCCATGTCCCGTCGTTTGGAGTAGGGATTCCTGCGAAGACATGTTTGTTCCCGCCTGGGGTTCTCCTTTTCAGGGATGCATGGCAGCTGGTTCACGGGGCCGCCCCCCCCAAATGGCCCTTTGGGCGGTTTTCCCTTGCATTCGACGCCAAAATGGTTGCCCAAAAAATGGCGTGCGAAAAGCAGCGATTCCCACGTGTTGAAACTCTGGGCCCGGCAGGGCCTCTCGCCTCGGCACGTCCGGCTTATCCTCGGGTGGCTTCATTGGGGGGGGGTTCTAGACCCCCTTCTGGAACGAGTTTTAACGGAAAACCAAACGGAAACCAAGCATTTCAAGGAGCCCCCTTAAGGAGAGCTAGATCCAATTCGGCTGAACCAACGTCACAGATTTGCGGGGTGATTTGGTGATCCTGCCGGACATCCCAACCCAAGTTGGGGAGATAAGGAGCAATACAATGGTGCGAGGCATGCCCAATCGCAAGGCACAAAATATCAGACATGCGTAGACTCAAACTCGCCGGGCTTCATGAGTTGCCATCACTCGGATAGATGGACTTTGAACACTGGCGAAACTGCCCTTCGTCGCTTGCTCCCGGAAGGCAACTGACCAATCAAAAGTTGCCATGCAATGTAACAAGCTATCAGATAGACCTCAGAACCCTTCGGATCTGGGAATCCCATCTTAGAACCTTTCTGGGGGATGTGGTGGTGGGACCTGAGCCCAGGGTTTCTCAACATGGACTCTTGTCGCTAAAGAAATCAACCACCTGGACGGCTCCCCCACGGCTGGAACGGAGCCCCAGCACGTTGGCTACACGCTAGTCTCGAAGGGCCCCGGGAGGTTCCGCAGTAAAACTAAATGACTTCAAACAAGTTTGAGCAAAGCCTCGATGAAGCTTATTTTGGGAGGGACCATAAATTGAGAACCCCCTTTCCAAGGGGTACATGTTTTCAGAATTGTTCTGCACATGGCAAGAGCTCACTTCGCAGCAGGACAGAAGCTTTCTGCAAAGGGGTGGTCCCCCTGAGAGAAACCCTTTTTCGGGGGTTGGTTCAAAGGGAAATCAAAGGGAACTTACTTTTCCGGGTGAGGCGGCAATTCACACTGGGCCACCAGAAGCGCAAGATGCAACTCAGTGATTCACTCGGCAACATCCGAGCTAAAAAAGAGTGGAGGGCAACAAGGAACTATTCTCAGCAGTCCGTGCTCCTTTGGGCTTATTGACTCCAGCCGCAATTGGCCCCTCATTCTGTCTTGGATGTTCAACCACTTAGGAAGTGGGCTACAACAATGGCTAGAAGCGGGGTGGTTGCATAAAACCGTGGCCATAGCCTACTCAATAGGTGTAACATCCGACAACGCCCTGCAACAATTCAAGGTGTCCATGCCATATCCCGTATCCCCCCACAACCGAAGGCTTCCCCTAGTCCCAGAGCGTTTCCATCTGGGGAACACACATGCCGCCCAGCAAGGAACCAGCAAGGAAAGGCACTCCCAAACTGCACGGTTGCTCTTAAATACGTTCTGCAAACATCGCACCAAAGGAAGCTCCTTTCAAGCGGACCATTCCGAAAAGTGATGTTTGGTTCCCCACCACATGGAAACGTATCGGTGGTTTTCAAGGAAGGCACCAACCATTTGATGTTGGAAAGCCTACGACAGGAAGCATCACCATGCCTTCTGTAGCATTTCCCAGGAGAAACCCAAAAAATAAGGAGTTCTTTGGCTTTTCTCCCAAAACTAACCATCAGTGGTTAGGTTACTCAAAGAGACAAGACCACTGCAAGTTTACATGAAGCTCGTTTTATCCGACCCCACTTTTCGGGGACCATGCTAACGTGCAAGGCATAGTGTCAATTTCTGCTTTGGGTCCAGCCGTTCCCTGCTAAAACTAACCAACATTCCCTGTAGAACTCAATTCGGGTTGTCTTTTGCCCTCTAAACAAACCAAACTTCATCGCGGATATGAGTTCTGGCCCTTGCGGTTTCCCTTCGAACACAACCACAAATTGTCCCCCTCCAAAAAAAACTAAACGGAGTGCTAATCAGAATGAGATTCGGGGCGTCCCCCAAGCGGCCAGCAACCGTCTGCAGCCCCCTCGCCTCACAAATACTTCCGCGTGCTCGGCTCGCTGGCCTTGCCTGCGTTGCTGGACTTGCCTCCGCGCGTTCGGGGGCCCGAGCAGTCGCAGCCTCCCGGTTTCCTCCGGTTTCAACTCGGCCAGACTTAGGCTTCCTGTTCTCTTAGCTTGCTGGCAAGGGAAACGGCCAAGAAGCTAACAAGGGCAGCTGGGTCTGGCAATGTAAACCTGAGTATGGCAAGGACACACCAAAACTAAACGCGGTGGGGGAGACTGCGCAATGGATGGCTTTCCTTTGGCTTCCAAGGAAACACAATCCCAGAAAAGGGTGCTGAGCCTTCGCAGAAAAAGCTATGCCCACATGTGGTTTGGTTGCGGAGCCTTGGGGCGGCCAATTCAAGGGGAACTTCCTTCTGGTGAGGTAGTGCTCGAACTGGGATGCTACACACATATGATTGTCCATGGTGCTGGAACCCGTTTATTAGTGGGAGCCAAAGCTGGTGGGCATGATTGAGGTCAGGCGTTTGGTGCGCCAATCATCTTCGAGGAGTCCCCCCCACCAAAAGACCCAAACGAGACGCACTTGAAATCGGCGACCAACATTCAAACGATGATGTTTTCAACATATGAAGGACACTTGCTCACTTCACCCTGAAAGGTAGGCCATCGTCCCAAAAGCTGCCGAAGAAGCAACAGCAAATCGAAGACCTCCTAACCGCAAGCAATGGACCAAACATACTGTGACTACTAGGACGTTCAACAGGTGCCCCAGATGAAAAGCTCAGAAGCCAAGTAACTCCCTCGCTTTGAGGGCGGCGTCGATGGCATCGTGCTCTGCATCGACGAGGTCGCCTTAGCTTCGGTCCAGAGGTCCATAGATTCAGAGGTCCAGAGGTCCGCAGGACCCAGTTGATGAATATCAGGTGTCCCTCAGTTTGGTTTGAACTGTTGGTTAAGGGTGGTTTCCCATTGCCATTTACCCGCTAGAAGAACCAGGGGTTCAGATCCCCTAAACCACCAATCCAAGCCACCAACTAACGGGACCCTGACAGTTGATTAATAAACCCCCGGTTGACTAACGGAGGGGTACAACCCATAGAGCGAAACCTTCACCTCCTACTTTTTGTTGTACCGCATTCTCTGAGGGCCATGTTTCACCTGCTATTTGCCAGGTGAATTTTGTCTCAAACATCACCCCTGGGTGCAAGTTTGATCCGGCCACACCCCACAAAAGAAACGTCCATGCAGGTGTTCCTCGCCCTATGAGAGGCAGCTCACAGGTGAGGCCAGGCAGCGCGCTGAAACAAATGGGCCACTCCCAATGCCTCTGTCCCAGGTGCCAAGCGGGCACCGACAAGTTATTCGCATGTTCAAGCCTTTCTGCCTGCAACTGCTCTTGAGTCTTGGTTTGTAAGGAGATGATGCTACCCCGCATGACAACCTCCAAAGGAAATCCCGGAGCAAACGTGTCAGACCAGTGCATTTGAAAGTGGGCTTGCATTTGACCAGGCGGGCTGCAAACGCAGCTCATCGAACGTGGCTCTTGGCCAAAGTTGGCAGGCTCAAAATTGTACCATGCGTGGTGGGCAACGTTACAAGACATTCTCCACCCTATCACCATCTGTAGTAAATTAGCATGACACGTAGCTATTTCTCTTGACCACGGACAGCTGCAGCTTTTGTCTATTACAGCTGCAGTCGCATTTGCAATCCATCGAATTTCCAGGGCTCCACCTACCTCAACCGCTTTCACACGCGGGGCTGCCTGTGCAGGGCTACTGGGACATTGGCCCTAGCAAGCAAAGCCGTTACAAGAGAGTCACACTGGCAAACACTGCTTTGGGGAGCTCTAGAAATCTTTCAAGAGTGGCAGGGGGTGCTCAAATGGCCCTAGCCATGGCTGCATCTTGGGGTCCAAAAGTGTCCCCAACTCCCAGAGATACAGCTAAACATCTCCACATTGGTCACCACATGTCTTGCATAAAGTCGAAGCTGTGCTGGGTCTTCACTGGGATTTGGCCAAGCGAGAACTGCCAGAATCTGGAGCCTGTTTCCGATCTTCTGCAAAGGCTAGGGCTCCTCCGCGCTCGCGCAATTTCATGAAACATGCGCGTGTCTCAAAACTAGAGCCTCCTTTTCAGCTGCAAGGAACCCAAGTGACTGCGTTGCCATCTCAAGAGGTGTCAAAAGCCTAATGGCAAAGGTCAATTCCAAGTCTTGACGAAAGAGATGGAGCCCTGTCCATAGTCTACTGGCCGCAACGGCCCCTCGCGATGGCGGAGCGGTGCCCCTTGGGCGTCTTGAGGGCGATCGGACATGGCGAAGCTTTTGTCTTGCTTTTTGTGTCAAGGAAAACAAAAGCCCGAGAAAAATCATGCGTGTTGCCTTTAGGGGTCCAAGCAAACGCTTCCTTTCGTCGATGGAGATTCTGTGAGAGGCGCGCCCTCCCTCCCATTAGTATGGAGCCAACCAGGCCGTCTTGAAGGGATGGGCTCCAAGAAATATCCGGTCAAACTCCGTGTGGGCAGGAAGGAAACCTCTTTGTTGTCACCTTACCCCTGGAGGTTGGGGGAGTTCACCCCCCAGCGCAACTTGAGACTGAATGGAAAGGCACCCCCCTCTTGCGTCACACCACTATAGGGGAAGCTACATCAAGTAGGTTAGGTGGTCTGAGGAAAACAAACTTAATGCACATATCAATTCCACTGGGTTTGGACGCCCTTCTTGACAATCCCAGCGGAACGCACTCTTCATGCCAAGTTCGGGTGAAGTTTTCGGGGCGCCTCTGAATTCTCGACGAGTGTTGGACTACAGACATATGGTCAACATGTCCTCGTGCAAATCTGGCCCCAACTTCCCTGCGCCGGTCCCTCGTGGGCCAGCTCGCCTTCCTCGCGGCACGCTACCTGGCTACCCGGCCATGCTGGGGCCATGTGTCTGGCCGCGCGGAACCGCAAAAGATGCGGCCGCACTTGCTGGAGTAAGCCCCTGTCGCGCGCATCTGCGCGCGCCGTGCGCTCAGGTCGCTAGGGACCACTCCAAACACGCAAGATGCGTCCGGACATTTTTAGCCACTCCCCGAGCTTTAGCTCTATGGTACAGCACTACCTCCGGCACAGTGCCACCTTACACACCCCAAGCTCTAAAAACCTGATCCTTTTGATTGGTCTTCTCTTGGTTCACTTTCAGGCAACTAGATGTCACAACTAGATGTCACTAGTGTGCGTCACAACCGCCACAAGCACGCCGTCAAGAATGGGCCATGGAAAAGGAGGCATTCTTCTTAAGCTGGCACACTTCACAGCCGGACTGCGCGGTGACACTCCGCGCGGTTCAAGTCTGAGGTGCTTCTTCTGCTTGGGACAGTTGCAGGGAACCAAGTAGGGGGTCCCCCAATGATAGAAACAGCTCGCTGAACCGCGGAAGCCCGCGGTTCACCAGCCCTGATCTCAGGAGTGCGGCATAGAGTAGGTCGTGTAGGGCTGCGACTGCGCCGGCGCTTACTTTTTCTGGTTGGCCAGTTTGGTGTGATGCCAATTGAAACCAAGAATCTCCCCATGCCCTGGAAAGGACAACCTTGAGGCTGGTTTATGTTTGGTCCTGGCGCGCAGGACCCTCTGGGATCCAGCCTTCAATTCGAGCCCCAAACAGCAATTGGAAGCTATGTGCGGCGCACCTGGTCAAAGAAATGCCCAATACAATGGAGTTCTAGAAAAGCGCCTCCAACTTGTCCAGTTGCCAGAAAAAAGACACTCGTTTCTGGTTCATTCTGGAGCAACCCCCCATCCAAACAAAGGAATCCAATGCATCACTGGGCAACTGGGAACCCTTTCATAAATTCCTTCCGGGCAGCCAGCGGAAGAAAATGCAAACAGTGGGCTGCATGGCAAAGTGTCCATGCAACTGGCTCAACACCCAAGTTCACTGCGCAACTCTCCAAATAGCTTAAAAGGCTCTGGTGACTGGCCCTTGGACCAACAAATACTCAACAAATGCTTCTACTGTCCAATATTCCGCTGCCCTTGCTAGCTTTGCTGATCGGGCTCCATGTCAAAACTCGCAGCAGTAAGAAAAACAACAAATGAACACAAACAAACACGCCCGAATTCAAATCGTTGCCCCAAAACCCCGAACTGCTGCAAAGCCACCATCACACCGGGCTCCATCGGCAGCGATGTGGCTGGTCTAACCTCAGCGGTGCAGTTGAGCGAGCACATAGTGGTCCCTAAATTCGTTGGTTTCCTCTTGGCTTCTCTTTAAGATCAACCCAAGGAGGTCCCCCGATTTGAGAACCTCAGTTGGCACGGTGAACCTGAGATGCACTGGCCGATTTGCGGTGTGTGTGTGTGTGCCCGAAGGTGCAGCAACTGAGCAACTGGAATAAACTGACAAGCTGCGAAATGGGTATAACAAATGCCACCCGATATCAGGGTGCGTAGCTTTAGCTTTTCATGCTGCTTGCAATTGAAAATTATTCACCAACCGGAACTCAGGAATCCTCAGCACTTCTTCCTGGCCCCTGAATGACCTTATTTTGCCCTTGTGTGGTCTTGGTACGGGTGCAGATGGGTGCTTAGCATGGTGCTTCATCTGCTTCCAAACCTTGCGAGTCCAGCACAATGAACTCCATCTAAGCCTTACAGCTTGTAACCCCAGCAAAAGCCTAGCCCCCTCACGGCGTTTGGCCAACTACATAATATGATTACGGTGATGAAGGGCATCCTATCAGCCCAGCTGCGTAAACATGACTAGGTTGAAACTGAACATCCTCGCTCGCGCGGGCACACCTCTACAAGAAAAAGCGTCAAACAATGCAGACCTGTCTTCAAGGGCAGTAGGCTTAACTAAAACATCTGGAACATCGCCAGCGGCATACCTGGCTATTGAACCCCCGCTGTAGGCTTGCGAGCAGAAGCTCCATGGTTTGCTTGTTCCAGCTTGCTTCAAGCAACTGGCTTAATCTTCAGCCATTTGGCCCAGTTTCACCACTTGTGGCTTCAGCTCAACAAATGGCTGTGGGTCAAGAGCCCGTACCCCCAGTGAACATCCCAATCCCCACTAAAATAGGTTCTAAAATGGGTGCACCTACCCCAAAATGCTACCATTGGTTTTGACCCGCGGCCAAATCGAGCTTTGAAAAACGGCGGACTTCTGCTTCCGTTTTTTCCACTTCCGCCCCAAGCCCCGCAGCGTGGCCCCTGGGCCCTGGGCGGTTGCCGTCACCGCCGGGGAAGCCAGGCGCATAGACCCCCCGGCCATGGGTTGCGGCGCGCTGCCCCCGTAAGTGGGCAGCGTGGTGGTGAAGACCCGCGAGCCTGGCCAAGGAAAAGCCAGACCAAAGGCGGAACTTTGTACCACCCACAGGAAACTTGCAGGGAGCTCTACAGAAACCACAGAAAAGATGTTCATCTAGCCGACCCTAAATTATAAAGCACGCGTTTTTGCAGGAGACCCCGTTTCCGTTGCCCCCCCTCCCAAAAAAACAACGTGCTCGCCAGATCCCCACCGGGCAAACGGCGACCCCCGCCTGCGGTGGGACTGGCGACCTGGAAGCCTTGGGGCATCTGTGTGGTGTAGGCGGCGGAGGGCGAGCCCGGGGACTGCAGCAACGGCATCTGCATCTGGTACTGTCCTGCCAAAGGACTGGGCCCTCAGATCCCCCTAAAACCTTCGACTTCTAGTGGGTTAAATGGAAACCACCAAACACTAAAAGGCCAAAAAGCTAAAAAGCTAAGGGGATGGCTGGGAGCTACCGAGAGAAAACTCACCGGGCTTTCTCTCTAAATGAAGGGAACCCCGGTAGAGGTGTTTGGGTTTATTAGAGTTGGTTTTTGCATCTTGCGCTGTTTCCA